AATTAAATCAAATAGATTGTTAAATGAACAAAGATCTGACTTACTATCCTCTGATAGCTGCCATGTTAACTGAACTAGGATGGTTTTCTGCCAGCCGCCCATCAGCTGTTTCTGGTGCGGGGCTCAGGAACTAAATCGCTTCCAAGCAGGGCTTGCAGCCATTGCTGTTATTTCTGTAAAAAAACAACTGCTGCTAGTTAGCTCAAACGTCTTCAGCTGCTGGGGGGGGGGCTGTTGCTTTTTTTTTAAAAAAAAGACTTGCCACTAATTAGCTTAAGAGTCTCCAGCCAGGCACCAGAGGGAGATGGGGGAGGGATTTGCAGAACTCTCGGCTTGCAGTAGTAACAGATATGGAAGTGACTAAATTAATGGACCAGCGAAATGTGAACATAGCATAATTGAACTTCAGTAATGCATTTGACAAAGTAGACCACAAGTTAAAACTGCTCCTTGGTAAGATAGAAAAATGGGAGGGGGACTTGTCAAATTTACAGATGACATTAAATTAGGAGAAATAGCCAGCACTTTAGAAGATAGGCTCAGGATTCAGAAGGATCTTCACAGACTTGAAGACAGACTGGACCCTATCCAACAAGATGTAATTCAGTGGCGAGAACAGTAAGGTTTTACATGAAAAACCAAATGCGCAGATATAAAATAGATGATACCTGGCTTGACAACAGTAACTGTGAGAGGGATCTAGGTGGACAACCACTAAAGTACTACCATTGATCCCAAAATTGGTTGCTAAGTGAGATATTTGTTAAATTAATTTTGTTCTATTTTACAACCATTCTTGCCACAGTTGTTTAAGTGAATCACTGCAGTTGTTAAGTTAGTAACATGATTGTTAAGTGAGTCTGGTTTCCCCATTGACTTTGCTTGTCAGAAGGTCACAAAAGCTGATCACATGATCCTGGGACACGGCAGTCATCATAAATATGAGTCGGTTGCTAAGTGCCTAAATTTTGATCACATGATTATGGAGATGCTGCATTGGTCGTTAAGTGTGAAAAAGATCTAAGTCATTTTTTTCGGTGATGGTGTAACTTTGAACAGTCACTAAACAAACATTGTAAGTTGAGGACTATCTGTATGAGCCAGCAGTATGTTGTAGCTGTCAAAAAATGCAATACAATCCTAGGCTGCATCACCAGAGGAATACTATTAAGATTAGCTGAAGTATTAGTGTTGCTATGTACTGCTTTACTAAGATCATACTTGGAATACTGCATCCAACTTTTTTCACCATGATAACCCCCCCCAAAAAAAGGTATTAAGTGCAAGACTAATGAAAAGAAGGAATGGGGTGTGTGACAGCAATCTTCTGATATTTGAGGTCCCTCACAAAGAAGGAGTACAACCTGTTCTCAAAAGCACCTGAGGGCAAGGGAAGAAGTAACAGATGGAAACTTATCAAGGAGAGATCCAACCTAAAACCAAGAAGAAATTTCCAGAGAATGAAACAATTAATCAGTGGGATATATTGCCTTCAGAAGTTGTTCACTGGAAGTTTTTAAGAAGAGATTGGACAACCATTTGTCTGAAATGGTATAGGGTCTTCTACTTGAGCAGAGGGTTGGACTAGAGGACCTTCAAGGTCCCTTCCAACTCTGTTTTTCTGTTCTTTTCTGATTCGTAATCTGAAGAAGGCCAGGTCTGTATGATTAAATGGATGCAGAATTTGAATACAGTAATAGAGATATGACAGTAGGAATTTCAAGGTAAGATACTGGCATATTACTGCAGTTTTAATTGTTAAAATGAACAATTCCTTCCCTAAAATGTTTTGAAAGGTAATGAATGGATTCGATTGTTTTTGTGTCTTTTGTCAAATGTCCCGATACTATAAAGTCAAACAATTCTGGAAAATTATCCATAGTAGAATGGAACAGAATTTAAGTATTGTAATTGAACTGAACATTGTACAATAGATATCTTTATAGAATTTCATGAAACTATGTATTGATTCAAAATATACTGAATTATATTCGGGTACTCATTAATGGTTGCAAAGATTTTATATTCTTTTACTGGAAAGAATGTTTGATGCCTTCCTTGAAAATGACTAACCTAATTGTGGGAATATATTTCAATGTCCAGAATAATTTTGTATTTAAAAAGCAAATTTGATGTAGATTTTAATTCTAACTTGAAACTATTATTGGACTATAACGTATAGCTGTATCTGTTCTTCATCCATGATTGAAGTGGAGAATAGCTTACATATAGATTTATATTTTTAATTTGGTGAATAATCTTTGAGTATTGTATTGATGTATTGTAGTTCATAGTTTCAAGTGAAATATAATTTATAATATATTATATATATATATTACATAATATATTTGTTTAGATGAACTATACTGAGTGAAGCAATTTGAAAATCAAGGAGGGGCTCTTGAGTTTATTCAAAAAATAGATATACTTTACAATATTATAAATTACTAATTATAAATTATAAATTTATAGATATTTTTAACTATCAAAATGTTTTTCATTACCTGTATTTTATCTCTTTTCCCTTCGGTATCCTTTGTACTTTCCTTTGCTTCTACTTTTTCCCCCCCAAAAAAATCAGTTTATAAAGTGACGATTAAGCACAATAAAAAAGCCCATGAAAATGGGACCACTTGGTTCATGCAGCTTCTCTTCCAATCATTTAGTAGATCAGCTTTTATGTTTTGTTTAGTTTTAGTGAAATGACTGAAGATGAGCTTATGACGTGCATGCATTTTAAATTTAGTTTTAAAAACAGTTTGCCTGAAGCAGAAAGGTAAGGGGGCAAGATCAAAAGAGGAATAGCACACAATTAGGCCAAGTGTAGTAGTGCAATTAAATTGCAAAGTCAGACTGAAGTTGACCTCGCTCTCTAGGTAGAAGTGCTGCAGCTGTCAGAGTTGTGAGGTTATATCTCCCTGTATTCTTTGGAAACAGCAACTCATAGGACTGTGGGTTACACAAGGCAGCCTGAAAATGAAAAGGTACAAGAAGTTCATATGAAATAGGGATTTGACTCAAATGTAAAACAAATCATCACATTCCAAAAATTTTGCCATACCATTTTAGATCAGCCACCATTTTACAGACGCAAAACCAGATTATTTGGGATATTTCAAATTTGGGTGAAAACCAAATCCAGAGGGCATGCTTTTGAGCATTTTGTTTTTATAGCAGTTTCTGAGTAACTTCTCCAGCTTCGTATCTCTACAAATATCCCTCCTCAGTATTGAAGCCATTCTGGGGTTTCTACCAAAAAAGAGATGTAACTTTTTCACTGAGAAAAATGCAATCCTGAAATCTGCCTGAATGGTGCAAATATGCAGTGCTATTTATTTATTTTTACCATAGATTCTGGATCTTCTAATGACCATCTGGTAGAACATCTCTGATTCATTTATTTACTCCTTACATTTCAGAGTCGCTTCTCACTGCTCACATTCTCTTGGTTTTGCAACTACAGGAATGAAAGCCTACCAGAATCTCCTAGATTAGAAAGTGAATTCTGTTTGGGGGGGGAGAAAATGCTGAATATATTGGACCTGGATATCTCCGAGACCGCCTTCTGCCACAGATTTCCTCTCACAGACCAGTATGCTCCCACAGAGCGGGCCTCCTCAGGGTGCCGTCGGCCAAGCAGTGTCGGCTGGCGACCCCCAGGGGGAGGGCCTTCTCTGTGGGTGCCCCCACCCTCTGGAACGAACTACCCCCCGAGATCCGGACGATTCCGGATCTCCNGCCTAGGGAGAATTTTAAATAGGGACAATTTTAATTAGAATTTTAATGGTAACACAGCGGTAAATATTTGTTTTTAATTGGTTTTTATTGGGGATAGTGTTTGTATCGTTTTAATATGCTGTAAGCCGCCCTGAGTCCTGTTGGGAGAAGGGCGGCATATAAGTTTAATAAAATAAATAAATAAATAAATAAATAAATTCTTTGATAATAATCTCCAGTATTTCTTCTTTGAGTTTGCAGGGATGTTATATAGAGAAGATGACTCTCAGCCTCAGTAGGGGAGGTGAGAAGAGCTGGGATTTTATAGCAGTTAGAGGGACCTGAAGGCATTGCTCCAGCAACAGACAAATCATGTTAGAGTAAAAAAAAACTATCACTAAAGAAGCTTAAGAGAAACAGAAATTGAATTATTGCTATTGGCTGTAAATCTTATTTCCTAGCTGGTTAATCTTTTAAGAAAATAGGAGAAATTCTAATTGTTTTCTAATGTCAATTAGAGAAACATTTGTTCTACACAGTTCATAAGTTTGCAGCTCTGCTTTTCATCTGAATGCACCGATTTCACCGACTAATATAGATAAGAGTATTTATCCAGTATTCAGTATTTTTGAACCCCTATTTTGATAAGTGTAAATACTAACATGAAAAGATAAAAGTTCTCATCTGAATAATTTATCTAAATACTGTCCTTTCATTTCTCCACAGGACTAAATAGCAACTTTTGTTTAAATATCTTTTTCCTGTCCTATGTTTATCTTCAGGGTTTAATAATGATAATTAACACTGAAAATAAATTAAAACAAATGGCAATTTTAAAAAGTTATAATAGACTAATAGTGATAAAAAAGATAAAGGAGTCCCTGTAGATTTTACTCAGCTAATCATGGCCGACTATAAGGGTTGGTGCTCATCTCCGTTTCAAGGCCATTGAGCTATGGTCATGTGGCCAGCATGACATCATGGAGTGCTGTTACCTGCCCACCAAAGTGGTACCTATTTATCTACTTGCATTTGCATACTTTTCAACTGCTAGGTTGGCAGGAGCTGGGTAAAGACAAGAACTCACCCCATCACATAGCACTCAGGTTCGAATTGGGCTGCCGGCTTTCCAGATAATAAGCCCAGCTTCTTAACCGCTAAGTCACCATGCCGCCCCACTAATAATGGTACCTGTGTTAATTCAGATATCTAAAAGACAATGATGTAAATAAATCTGTTGTCTTGAATGCTACTAATATAAATGTTCATATTCATCTTTGCAGGACTAAATATCTACACCTCTTCAATGAGTATACCTGCCACCTCAAACATGGCTTCCTTTGTAAAAACAGAATTAACCAATCAGACTCCTATACTCAACAGCAGTTCAGCAGTAGATACTATAAAAGCAGCTACAAGTCCTGTTACTCTTTCCCTTACAACTACATTGAGATCTATTGAAAAGGTTATACCACTGTCTACACCTAATGACATATCAAGTACATCAGAGATGACCATATCAACAACTAATTTGTTATCACAATCAAGCACTGGATTACAAAGCACAGAACACATGCCAGCCTCGGTGATGTCCGTTTACAGCTCAGCAACAACTAATATTTCCCCTGCAGAAACTGTAGCCGCCACCACTTCAGGTATTATGAGAGTATCATCCATCAGCAGCAGTTCATTTGCTCCTGAGGAATACACCAGCTCTTCAGTTATCCAGTTATCAAGTATAGAAGTGTCCACAGTACCTATGACATCCAAGAAACACCCTGTTGAAGGAATCACTTCTGGAGTCACTACTAAGCCACTCACCTCATCAAACTCTGTGGGAACGTTTACATATTCACAAGGTACTTTAGCAAGTAAAGCTGTTGAGACCTCCCCTATTGGCAGAACCACATTCTCCTCAGAGGTAACCATGCAAGAGGTTCAGCGGGCTTTGAGTTCAGGTGAGCCAATACACTTAACTACCTATAATGATAATGATTTTCTCTCTCTCTCTCTCTCTCCCTCTCTCTCTCTCTCTCTCTCTCTCTCTCTCTCTCTCTCTCTCTCTCTCTCTCCCTCCCTCCCTCCCTCCCTCCCTCCCCCCCTCTCTCTCTCTCTCCATAAATTTATAAAAAATAAAATATGAATAATTGATAGATCTTTAAGTTCTTTCTCATTGATAAGTAATGGGAAGAAAAAAAGACATAATAATATTGCTATACAGAGTCATTTGGACCTGCTTGTAGCATATTTTCTCACTAACCATGGGAGGAGTAAGGTGGACAATCATTTAGCTTTCCACAATTTGATGCCCTTTAAATAACTTAGACTTTCAATGGAGCCTGGGCAAGTATTTTGCAATTATTACCTTTTTTAATTTTTTATAAATTTATGTAGACTCTTATACAACATAACTATGGGCAGCTCACAAACAAAAGAAAAAAAATAACAACAGAAAAATCACCACTCATTGACAACATTTGGACATATAATGGATAATCAGTCTTTTGAAAATGGAATGATTTTTTTAATTCATTTGAATTTTTGCATATAGTAGGAACCTCTTAATCCAAAACAAAGCCAGTTTGGGTTTTAAAGAAGAGTTTTTTGGTTGTTTAATATAATCAAAGTTACACATATATGAAAAGGGATTTAAAAGTATGTTCATTTTTAAATATTTTTAACATCCTACTTTATTTTATAAAAGAGAGACTTTAAGATGAGCAATAAATACCAGCAAATTTCAGGATGCCTTCAGGATGCTCTGTTTTAGATCTCCAACTAGTCAAACTTGTGGAAAAAAGTATCAGCTCAGTTGAGCAAGAAATTGCTGAATACACATTCATAAAAAGGTTGCAGGTGATGCTAGAAGAAATACAACAGCTGTTTAACATATTACCATTGTTAATTCCTAAGGTTCTTATAATTTGCCTCATATGTAATTTGCATAATGATCTGCATAACCAGCTTTTGCTTTCCATTCTTCTTCTCCCTCCTGCACATCATCCCAATTTAAACCCTACATTAGTCTAGTTATTCTATTGCATATGATGAACACAGCACAAAGCCTTGTACTTTTAATAACATGTGTTGGTTGGAAAAGATGCTAGTAGGCTTCTCCTGAATTAAGAGCAATAAATATTCAGTTCAGTAATCAAACTAAATCATAACTCAAACCAACTGGAAATGTGATTTAGAGGTATTTTTCTTATGTCTATTGTTTAGCACTCAGAAAACCTAGTTCACAGTTATTCTTTGACTGATTTAAATGGTTACCAAGAGAAACAGTCCTTTCTAGTTAGATTGCTTAGCAAAATGTAAAACAAGAATGTGCTACTTCAGAGCACATTGTGCAAATATATTGTATTGATATGAATCCAAAATAAAAAATATCTTGAAATGATAATCATCCATCCAATTTATGCACTCTTTTTTTCTATGTAGGAAGCATTGCAGCTATTACTATAACTGTGATTGCTGTGGTTCTATTGGTATTTGGCATAGCTGCATTTTTAAAAATCAGGTAAGATTTGACAAACACTTATTCAGAAGAGAAGCAATCATTTGTTTGGAAGATTGAGATGGGCTTTGTAACTGTTTTTAGAACTGAAAGTGGGTGCCTCCCATGTCATATACTGATTTTATCTCATTCTGTATACAGTATAAATAACTATAAAGTCATTTGTACATTGCCACAGTATTAATTGTTTCTCACTTTAAATCCTTCATAGTTCTGCATTTACATTATTCCCTCACTGTACTTCCCATAGCCTTCTTCTGTCTGTCTGTCTGTCTGTCTGTCTCTCTTTGATTTGCTGCACCATTACTATTCTGAAGCTATACTTCTGCTGTCTGCTCATTTGCAGGTTTAATTGCCTTCTCTTACCTCTTTTTCATGTTGCACTCCTGGCACTTGCTTCTGTCTCTGTTCTATTATCTCGTGCTACCCAAGATATTTTTCTGCAACCCAAATTGTGATGATTTTCTCCGCATAACCACAAAACTTTCTGCCTTTTCCTTCCTTCCTTCCTTCCTTCCTTCCTTTCTTCCTTCCTTTTTTCTTTTTAAATATGTTTTATTGATTTTTTTTAACGTAGTCGCCTTAATATTTGGTAAACAGTGTGTTGTCTGGGTTTATATTTGCAAAACAATTTCTAACAATTAGTTTCTATAATCTATAATCCACATAGTACCTTTGCTTGATTTTCTCTTCTTCCAATAATATTCTCTTTGCCAACTTCGAATTAATACAATTCTTATTATTTTGATAAGTAACAATTGAGTATAAAGATTTTTCCAACATTTCTACAAATAATAATCACATCCATATAATGCTTCTTTTCTATCTAAACATCTTGGTTGCCTCGTCATAAATCCTGTTTATAATTCTTATTTAAATTTGTTTTCCCCACAGTGTTCAAAACATTCTTACTAGTTAAAATTTTCTCAAAGTTAATTACATTTAAATATTTAAGTCTATTTTCTTCGTACAAGCCATCCCAACATTTTTACATTTCTCATGTCTTAAATTTTTTTAAAAAAAAAACAAGAAAGGAGAAGAAAAGGAAGAAGAAAGATTAAGAAAATAATATACTATTTAAAATATATATCCCTCTTAAATTAAAATACATTTATTTCCCCAAAAAATCTGTTGTTTTTAACCATAATCAAACATATGTTTAATCTTTAGATGTCCTTTATGTTAACCATCCCAAACATTTTTACCTTTCTCATATAAAAGGAAAAAGGAAAGAAAAAAGAAAAAAATACTATATTACTTGGGGGGTTCATCCCTCTTAAACTAAAATTCATTTATATCCAGAATCTTTCTATTTCTTTAACCATATTCAAACATGTTTAATTTTTAAATATTCCCTCTGATACATCCCATCATCTAATTTCTTAATTCTCACTTTAGCCTTTTTCTTTTGCCAAACATCTTTCCTAATCAATATATTCCATTGAATCAAAGAGTCTTTCCTTAGTCTTGTAGATGTTGTTGTAGGTATAAGAGGCAAATCAAGTAAAATGTCTTTGTGGAAAGATTTTGTCCTTTCGTATTCATTCATTCATTTTTTTCCTTACTTTCTCTCTTGGTTTCTCTTATCACTTTTTGTCTCTCCAATTCTCATGGTACTCTTGACAGCTCTGCGATCCATTTTGTCAGATCTTTTTTTCTTGTCCTCAGATTTATTTTTTAATCTTAGAGTATCTTTTCCATGTCCAATATGGAATACTGGAATACAATAACATACTTCCTTGTGTTATTAAGTTCCATCTTTAAATCTCTTTCTTCTAATTTATGTTCAACTGTCTGCTTTATCTCCTCCCTCTCTATTAATGTTTTCTGAGAGATTTTTTTGTGAAGTTAACTTGGAGATGGAGTCATTTATATTTTCAAAGTTATTTTTAATTTCCTCGTGGTTTAAAATCATTGTTGTTTGAATTGGTTGCAACATCTCATACCTCTTGGAAAGTATTTATGTTTTCTTGATATATTCTTTCTGCAGATCTCTGATTTTCCATGATAGCCAAAAATCAGAGTTTTCCTTTCTCTGCAAACAGCTTTAGAGTCACAGTTAGGTAAATGTTTGTAATCCAGAAAGGCCAGATTTTTTTTCTCTAAAGTTTATAATTCTCATTTCGTATATAGCCCAAGATGTTGTTTTTTTTGTCACAGCTGTTCTCTATTATTGAAACTTTGAAGGTCACAAAAACAGATTAACTTTTCTTGGGCCTTGCCAATTCCTGTATTAGAGCAACTATTGTTGTAATTTTCATCCACTAATAGATGTCAGCACCAGTTCATTTTTCAGTTTTCAAAATAAACAGTTGTCTTCTATTTTCATAATTTAAATTGAAAATCTTAACAGATTTTACCCATTTCAAACTTATCCAAATTTAAGTCTTGTATTCATTTCATTTCAAAATATTTCTATCCCCCATAAAATATTTAATTCGCCGTTCCCGTCTGTAGGAGGGTGGAGCAAAGGTCCCCCTCCTCACTTTTGGAGGGTTTTTTTTCTTCTTGGGTTTTTTCCCCCCAGGAAATTAGTTAATAAGTAGAATAGAGAAAATCGATGTTCTTACCCAGATCCAAACACGTTGTTTACAATAAGCTTAAAATAGTGCTTTTGGGCTTCGGTTGCTTGTAGCTTGGGCTAGATTCTGAAGTTAACCTAGCCTTTCTCTTGTTGGTTTCTGGAAGGCTTTTCCTGGACTGATCAGGTTGACCACTGTCTCTCCGTGGTCCACGAGACTTCCTTCTTTGCCGCCTTTTCAGGGCAACTTCTGGCTCATTTAGGGTCACCTAACAGGAAGAAAATCAGCCGTAAGGTGCGGAGCCCTGCGATCCCTTAGCTGCTGCACTACTGCGCAAAACTGGAAGCCTCCCTTCCTTCTTTCTTTTCTTCCTTCCTTTACCTATTTCTCTCTTTCTTCCCGCTATTTGAATATTCATCCTCTTCTCTGTACAAGTACAAACTTTCCACCTGAAACAACATGCTGCTGTTGATTGGGAGATAGATAAGGGAAGCAGTGATTAATGCTTCTTCCCCCCCCCCCCCCAAAAAAAAATGTCCTGATCCAGGTCTTGATCCTTTGGCCTTCATCTTTTCCTCCCAGCTACCATAGTTGCTTATATTTATTATTGGAACTTGGACTGTCATTCTTTTCCAGGAAGCTAAGCTAAAGTGTAACTGTTGTTGTTGCTGCTGCTAAGCAGGGTAGAATTCTACATTGCTGATGGTCTTCCTGAACTTATTCCTAAAATTGACAGGATGATCACTTCATGACTGAAATAAGTACTCAACTAAGATGAAAGAGATTCCAAACTAATCTGAAGAATGAAACTTTTACGTCTCATTAATCTGGCAGTTGAATGATTAAAAGAAAGGTGTTAAGTGGACAGAGGGATTTATTTTCCAGAAATATGTGTAATAGTAGGAAAAAAACTGAATAACAGAATTGGAAGGGACCTTGGAGGCCTTCTAGTCCAACCCCCTGCTCAAGCAGGAAATCCTATACCATTTCAAACAAATGGTTGCCCAATCTCGTCTTAAAACCATCCAGTGTTGGAGCATCCACAATTTCTGGGGGCAAGTCATTGTATTAATTGTTAATTAATTAATTAATTAATTAACAATGAATTATTAGAAAATTTCTTCTTAGCTCTAGACTGATTCTCTCCTTGATTAGTTTACATCTATTGCTTCTTGTCCTGCCTTCAGGCGCTTTGGAGAATAGGTTGATCTTTGTGGCAGCCCCTGAGATATTAGAATATTGCTATTATGTTAACCAGTAGTCTTTCTTTTCATTAAATTCAACATCCCCAATTCCTGCAACAGTTCCTCTAGCCCCCCAATCATTTTTGTTGCTTTTCTCTACACTCTTTGTAAAGTCGCAATATCATTTTTATATCGTGGCAACCAAAACTAGATTCAGTATTCCAAGCATGGTCTTAAGGCATTATAAGTGGTATTAACATTTCACGTGTTTTTGATTTTGTCCCTCTGTTAATGCAGCCTAGGGCTGTGTTGGCTTTTTGGGCAGCTGGAGCACACTCTTGGGTCATATTTAACTGATTGTCCAAGATCCCTCTCGTAGTTGTTAATATTGAGCCAAGTACCATCTATTCTATACATGTGCATTTGGTTTTTCCTGCCTAAATGCAGAACCATATTTTTCTCACCACTGAATTTCATTTTGTTAGATAAGGCACAGTGTTCAAGTGTATCTTAAGCCTATCTTCTGGAGTGTTGGCTATTCCTGCCAGCTTGGTGTCATCTGCAAATTTGATGCGTTCCCCATCTATCCCTGCATCTAAATCATTGATGAAGATCTTGAAAAGTACTGGGCCTAAGATAGCATTGGAGATCCCACTGCATACTTCCCTCCATGTAGATGCAGTTCCATTAAGAATTACACATTGAGTGCGATGTTCAGCCACTTATAAATCCATTTGGTGCTGCTACTGGCTGTCCCACATGTTTCTGTCTTATCAAGTAGTAGATTGTAGTTTACTTTATCAAATGCCTTATTGAGGTTCAAGTAAATTCTATCCACAGCATTTCATTGATCCACTAATTTTGTCACTTTGTCAAAGAATGGAGTAAGATTTGTCTTGCATGATCTGTTTTTGACAAACCCAAGTTGGCTTCAGGTTAGGTTTTTGCAGATTCGTCGCTTGATGATCTTTTCCAGAATTTTCCCAGATATTGGTGTCAGACTGGTAGGGGCATTGTTTCCCAGATCCATTTTTTTTCCTTTTTTTAAAGATGGGAAATACATCAGCCCTTTTTTAGTCCTCTAGTAGTTCCCCGGTGCTCCAGGATCTTTGAAAGATATAGTTCAGTGGTTCTGAAATCATGTCTGCCAATTCCTTCAAAACCTTATCTGGTCCTGGTAATTTGAACTTATCTAGAGTGGACAGGGGTTCTCTTAATATTTTCTTGCTTATTTTGACTTGCATTTCTAATCTGCATTTTACAGTATTTTTTTGATAGGTTGGACAGCTTTTTTCCCTTTAATGTAAAGAAGGATATAAAAAAATGATTAAGCAGTTCAGCTTTCTGCCTGCTTCTCTTCACTGTCTTGCCATTTTCTCTAATTAATGGACCAAACATTTCCTTGACTTTTTTTGTTATTTTTTACATGTTGACATTTTTTAATTATTTTTTACTTTTGTTGCAAACCTTAGTTCATTTGAACCTTAGCTTTCCTGACTTCATTTTTGCAGGTTCAGGATATGTGCTGATATTCTGCTTTAGTTATATGCCCCTCTATTCACTTTTTATACTTGTCCTTTTTGTCTTTCAGTTTAGCAGAGAGTACTGTGTACAGCCATGCTGGTTTCTTTTGACATTTTTCTTCTTTGTTGGAATTGTGCTAGACCAGGCTTTTATAATCTCACTTTTCAAAGTTTCTCAAGCTTCTTGGATTGTTTTCCCCTTGAGGATTCTCATTTATTTTCAACCTCTCTCTAGGTTTATTGAAATCAGTTCTCTTGAACTCCAAGACTCTGTTTTGATTTTGTTCTATTGCTTGTGCTTGCATAATTTTGAATTCCAATATTGCATGATCACTACCCAGCCACTCCCAAGGTTCCTGTAACTTCAACACCTTCTACCATTTTATCTCTGTTAGAATTAAGTCCAGTATGATTGACCCTCTAGTTCCCTCCTCTACCTTTTGGGAGACAAGTTTTTTGCTTGGTTCATCAGGAATCTGTTTGATCTTCCACTAAGTACAGAGTTTGTCTCCCAGTGGATATCAGGGCACATAAAGTCCCCCCTTACCATCATGATGTGCTTCCTACATACCTTAATTAATTGACTATCAAAAAGTTCATCTATTTCCTCTGCTTGGTTGGGTGTCCTGTAGTGTACACCTATGGCAATGTCATTCTTTTTTGCTTTTATATTGACCCAAATGCATTCAAGGTGGTTTTCAATATGGTTCTGCTATATTTCTGTAGAGATGTAGTTATTTCTTATATATAGTGCAACTCTTACCTACCTCCTCTTTTATTAGGTCTGTTTTTTTAAATAATTTAAATCCATCTAGCCATATATTCAATTCATGGGTTTTATCCTACCAAATTTGTGTATTGGCAACAATATCATATCTGCTCTCATGTACTTGGATGTTGATTGATTTCTTTCTTACTCTATGTATGATAAAGAGAAACTTCGGTAATGAAGGCATAGTGAGAAGGATGGCTAACTTGAGTAATATGCTGGGTTTTTTTTTCATTCTTAGGCATTCTTCATATGGCAGACTTTTTGATGACCATGATTATGGATCCTGGGGAAACTACAACAATCCTCTGTATGATGATTCCTAATCTAAGAATATTAGCCAAGCCAAAGCTGTTCTTGTGTCATGAAGCATCTAATTCACCAAAAGCACTATGTTCCAGTATCTTTTGACATGCATTTCCTATATTTTATTCTTTTTTGCTGTTTTTTCCAATGAATTTTTGGAATTTAATAGAAACCAAACTCTACAACGTGAATCAGATTCAAATGATACTTACAATAAATAACTCAAGTCTTATTTAATAAGTTGCTACAGTTTCTAGAAAAAAATGAAGATATATGGCATACTCTGACAAAACTGCAGTTTTAGCAACATGATAGTATTAGTGGCAGATTTGCTATTAGGAATTTGCATTCCTAGCAACTTATGACAGGTGAACCTTTAGTGGCAGACTTGGTATGAAAAAGCAGTATGGCCTCTTTAGTTGACCCTCAGAAAACCTTTAAGGTAATAATTGCTTAATGGGAATCTCAGAAGATTGATACCAAATCTTGCTCTTGTTTATTTGCCTTCACCACTGCTATTTCTGTAAGAAGAGTGTTCTTATTAACATTCAATTGAATATTATACTATTATATACTTCAGTGAAGTTCTTGTTAACTACTTTGTTAAGTAGTTTTCTTAACAACTGCCTTCCTTCTTTTTCCATCATACCAATTCAGCAAACCCTGAGTGCTCTTTAACAGAGGCAACTTCTATTGGTCCACTGATATCACACAAATATCATTTAAGGAATGAATAATTCTCCCCCACCAAAAAACTAGTAGATTTGATATAAAAGGAATGGTATTATTTCCAAAAGTAAAATATTACCTCTTTGATTTGTACCAAGTTTTAACTATTCCATATTTTTCTTTCATGTGTTCATAAAGGAGAATGTTCTGTTAGCTAGTTGATCCAATCAAACATTGCTCTGAGTTTTCTGTGATATCAAGAGTAGTCATGTTTGTCAATATCTGATGTTTTATGCTGGCAAGTAATTAGGAAAGTTATATTCCAATTTGGAGAAAGGCAGCTCTAAAATGAATCAGAATCATAGAAGCCTGGTCCCTACCTTGGAGATCTTTTAGTCCAACCTATTGTACAAGGTAGGAGTCCTTAAACCATCCAGACATATGGATGTCCAATTGAATGAATGAATGAATTCTAGCTTTGTGCAGTTGGATTCCAAATGAGGTTTGTTCCTTTGTAGTCATTATCACAAAAGCCCCAATTTTTTTTGGTCCAGATCCTTGATATAAATTGGATTCCATTGATATATTCATTTTCCATCTAATTATCTAATCAGTTTTAAAACCACCAACTTCGATGGTGTTCATTCCCCTCTCTAATAAGTATAAGTTATGTTTTAAGCAGATAGTAAGTACTTCTCAATAGACAGTTTGTCATCGTCTCATGACCTGCTCTGCAGTACATCTGCAGTGACAATTATGAATGTTATCTTTTAAAACTTCATTTAAGAAATGATCAGATGAAACTATTACAAAGTGTTCCCTTCAAGATTTTAATTTGTTTGCATTATCCATTACTTCAGATAACAGCTTACTATTTTCCTTTGCCAATTTATATGCTACTAGTTTGAGTTAATAAAAAAATATTTGATTGTGAATTTCTACGGTTTTTCTTTCCCTTCAATATATCTCTTTTATGTATAAAATAAGGTTAAAAATATGAACATATTTAGGTAAGATGTTTTTGTGTCTTTCCATGCTCTAATTATTACATAATATAATACAATACACAATATTTGAGGTATAGTTATTTGAACAACATAATAATATTTTAAAATTGACATTTTCTCAGCATTCATAATATTTATTTTCATATTTTATCACTATACTGCTCTGGTTAATGTTCTACAAACCATTTGGTTGCATTCTATATACATGCTTTGTGCTGTTATCTAAAATGTCAGTTGGCTTCAATTTTGTCAATATTCACAGTAAGTTTTTAAAGACTGCTATTTCTTACTATTTTACCATTAAAACTGATTATATAAAATACAGTGGTCATTACAGGTGCAGATTTATGTTGGTACAGTGTTGGTATTAGACAGGGTGACTGATTTGTTTGATCTTAGGATAAAAATGGAAGATTGAATGTAGTGACATCATGGTGGAGCCTATTTAATTTAAGTTACAATTGTACAAATCACATGGGTTCATCATGGGTACATAATACTTAATAGGGAAGAATCCATACTGAGGATAAAAACTATCTGCCTTTTAGTGCTGTACTGATTTCATTGCTACCTGAATGGGATTAGCCTAATAGTCTTGATCCCTGACATCTTTGTCTCCTTTCATGTGTTCGTAAAGCAGAGTGTTCTGTTAGCTAGGCCAGGGTTTTTCAACCGGTAGCTGGGGAGGGAACGAGCCAAAGTGGCCCAGCACAGGACTTGCCCTGAGAGAGTCTTCAGCAGCTGCAGGGCTGCTGGGGCAAGGCAAAGGCCCCAGGATCGGCATTTCCAGAAGAGAAAGATGGAAGAGGGGGCGGAGACAGGAAGGGGTATAAAAGGAGGCAGTTTGGGCATGAGAAGGAGAGAAAAGGAGAGAAACCCCCTCTGCAGCCTTGGGAGGAGGAAGAAGAGTCAGCTGGAGCTGCACCAAAGGTAAAAGGAGGAGGAAGGCCAAGAGAGGAGAGGACAAAAAACAGGCCGAGCACGCACACAGGTGGTAGAGACAAACAAGAAACACAGCTGGTGGCTGTGCCGCCGGTGACCATGGCTTGAAAGGCCACTGTAAATTGCTGGACAAGAGCCACACAGCATTAAGAGCAGAGTTGCAGGAAGATACTTGTAATGAGGGAGGGTGAAAGGGAAGCACTCAGAATGAGGTCAGCCTGCGTGGCAAAACAGTCATGCAGGATACCAGGCGCATGTGCTCGCCGCTGCCTCTGCATGCGCCCAGACAAGTTCGGCATGTGCCGGTTTGCCTCGCTCAGCCCAGCCGCTCCACGCGGTGAGAGCATGCTGCTGCCTGCCGAAACCAGGCTGGAGTCTGGGCAGTGTAGCGCAGGTAACATGGACTCTCATGCTGTTCACAGTGTCCCCTCCCCCAGGGTCCACAGGTGTGTGAAGTGGGTGAGGACCATTTGCTAATCTACTTCAGGGGATGCCTGTTTTTCTCCCTCATTACAAATATCTTCCCACCACTCTGCTCTTAACACTGTGCAGCTCTTGTCCAGCAATTTACAGTGGCCTTTCAAGTCATGGCCACCAGCAGCACAGGCACCAGCCACGCTGGCAGCCTGTCCCCCTCCCCTTGTCCGTTCCTGGACACAGAGGGAGGGAAGGAAGGAAGGGACAATGGGAGGGAAGGAAGGAAGGGACAATGAGAGGGAGGGAAGGAAGGAAGGAATATTGCCATATCCTAAAAGTGGTACAATGGGTGAAAAGGTTGAAACGCCTGAGCTAGACGATCCAATCAAACATTGCTCTGAGTTTTCTATGATATCAAGTGCAGTCATGTTTGTCAAATATACCTGATGTTTCAACTTCCTGTTAAATCAGCTCTGAGTTATCCATGCAGGCATTTATGACCATAAATGAGCCCAGAATTATGGTGGTATGTCATTATGGTCATAAATCAAGGCATCATGTGTCGATCCAATTTTTTAAAGATAATTTTTGAGGTGGTCATTAAGCAAACACCACAGACATTAAGCAATCACTGTTTTTTGCCTGAAACCTGAAGTAAACATCAGAAACCAGCAAAAAACACTATAAAGGTGAGTCAGTCACCAAGCACCTAAAATGTAGTCATGTGAATGCAGGGAGGGAGTGCAGTCATAACTTTGAAAACAAGTGGTGAGTAGTTCTGGGGAGGTTCATTGTAATTCTGAATAATCATTAAGGGTCATAACTCGAGGACTACCTATACATCAACAGAGCCCCCTGTGTGCACTGAAAGCCACGGCAATAGATCCCAAATTTTTTGCAGTTTTCACCAAACAAGTTTGAACGGGGGGAATAGGGAAAATAATGATGGAAGGGTAATCATTAACTTTATATGTAACTTTTATTGATTTATCTATTACATTTCTAGCTTTACATCCTGCCTTTCCTTCAAGAACTAAAGGTGGTATACACCATGCTCCGTCTACTCACTTTTCCTTACAATGCCCCTATCGGGTAGCCTAGCTTGAGAGAGATTGGTCAAAAATCACTCGGAGATTGAAGGTGGACTTTAAACTGGGTCTCACTAGAGCCATCGGTTCCATCACTACTGTGTATTGGCTTGACGTTAGATGTGTTAAATGTAAATCAGATCAAGTTAATATTTATCTAGATAGCCACTTTAGAGCATGGCCTCTGGCCAGTAGTCCAAGGCCAGGAAACTGGTTCTTGAGGCATTCAAATGTGATTGGCCTGTTCTGGTGATACCAATCTCTCTCCTGACTTGTTTTATGTTCTACAGAAGCCTCCGAGTGATCCTTTTTGTTATATATGTATGTATGTAGAAAGGGCATTTCCTGTTAAAGATTGCTGTTAAAGATTGCTAAAGGTGAAACAAATGGCATTGTTACTTTATCTTTTTCTATGATTGATATAAAGTATTGGTCTATGCCTTCTTGGAAAAGCATGGTAGATTGGTTTATATTAAATAGTTGCAAATCTAATGTGCTTTGACAGCAGGTATGTATGTATGACTTTCGTAACCATCCACCTCGCCTGTTAGAGCAGTTCACCCCAGGTGACAATAGAGCTGGTAGAATTCCAGAGAGAGCTTAGGGTTTGCCCCAAGGGACTGGAGAGCTGTTCAGCTGAGGCTGATCATGGCCTGGGATGGGCATGTGGCTGAGCATTAATGAGATTGCCCTTATGCAGTCTCCCTCCCTCCCTGTGTCAATCCCAGAATGTTCCTTGAGTGTTCTAGGAAATGAAGTATGTTAACAGAGGCCAGAAACATGCATAAGTAGATAGGAAGAAACTTTTGCAAAGTTAAAAAACAAGCATACAAAATATAGAAGAAAGGGGAAAAAGATTAAAAATTATTGAAAGCAAGAAAAAAAGATATTTAAAGTAACTTCCAATCTTCGTCACAGCAGTTATAAATATTCATAATGTTATTTCTTCAATTCATAATTACAAAACATCATTTCCTTCTGCCTCTTTACAGCCCTTTTTAATTGGCAAATCCAGAAATCACCAGTTCATTTTTATTGATTTTCAGCAGAAAGTCCACAAAGGTTTTCCAGTCATTTATAAAACTAGTTATTGTTCTTTCTCTATCTCTGCATCTGGAAGATATTCAAGGAAGACAAAAAGTAGATCATACAAGCATGTGTGAGAACCCACATTAGGGGTTACATCAGTTGATAAGGGTAGCAAAACATTGCCTTTATTGTGCTGGTAGCTGAAGAGCAGGTATATTGGGACAATCTGGTCCTTATTTGGGAAGGGATGGGCCACAAGATCATCTCCAGGCTTTCTTTGAGGAATATTCTTGCTATTTGGCAGATGAAAACATTCAGATCTATTCCAAGATGGTCGCCAGCTGCTAACTTCCAGTTAACATGCTCAGGATAGTGTCCTATTTTGTTATTTGGAGTGAGTTTGATTCTATTACTTCCTGGAAAGTGGAGAGGTTTCTCCAATTTGGCCCATCTACTTTCTAGATTCAGATCCTCCTGGATGGTTAATGATGCCCAGAGATTGACTTGAGATTGGGCCTATTGCCAATGGTGAAGTCAGCTACTTTGTGTGAAGCGTGATTTCATTGGCCATAAGAGAGACTGTAATATACCTTGTCTTCAAGAAGCCATCTTTGGACTGAAAGGCCCTGGAGGATTACAGTCCAGTTTCCAACCATCCCTTTTTTGGGAAGATGGTAGAGATGATGGTTGGGCTAAAACTCCAGAAAGCCTTGTAAAAAGGATTATCGGGACTTGATTCAATTAACTTCAGACCAAAGTTTAATATGGATATAGCATTGCTGGTTGTTGGATTGTTTTTGCATCCATCCTTGTGTTCCTTAATCTCTTGGCAGCTTTAGATATTGGCAAAACATGGGTGGGAATGGGAGGGACCATTTTACAATGATTTTCCTCCTTTTTACATTTCTGGTTCTATTAGTATTGACAGGTGAAGAAAGATCTTGCCCACAGTTTTTTATGTGTGGACTGCTGCAAGGCTCAACATTTTCTTTTACTTAACATCTACATGAAACCACTGGATGATGTCATCTGCCAATGGATGTCCTTAGCTGGCCAAGAAAGTTGAAATACCTGTCTAGCACCTGGAGTCTGCATAGGTCTGGATGAGGAAGAACAGACTCATATTCAATTGCGACAAGACTGAGTGGCTCTGATTGTTTGAATCTTTTGGATTCAACTGTATTTCATTACTGATTCATGTGTTCTTTTCCATTTGAGACTTGCATACAATCTGTGGTTCCTCTTGAACTCTCAGTTTCTGCTAAATTGCACCCTTTCCTGGATCAAGAGTTCCTTCAAACTCATAATTTAATTACCTCACAACTGGATTACTATAATGCACTGTACTTGGGGCTGCCCTTGAAGATTTTCCAGAAACTACAGCTGTTCCACATGCTGCACATTATTATCACCTTGCTGTTTGGCAAACTGCATTGGTAA